ATTAAAAAAAAATAATAATAATAATAATAATAATAATAATAGTTGTTATTGTTCAATACGCATTGGTTATGTCCACTGGTGTATTCTGCTTGCTGGGACGTCGGGTGCAAAGTTTCACGCTTATCGCAACGAAACTACAATAACAAGTGATAATAATATCATCGAGTGATATAACATATTATGTTTTGTTGTTTTTTTTTGTTATTTTGTTTTTGTTGATCGTAGTAGTAACCGTGATCAGTGTTATATACACGACGTGGAAATACATTAGTATAGAACAGTGTGCAAATTATTGTCATACGCGTACACATAAGTACAGCAAAGGCAATAAAAGTAATGATGATAATAACAACAACCATGGTTACAGTGGTATAACTACGAACGATCTATACATTAGCCAAGTGTATGTATTTCAACGATAGGTCGTGTACGCGTGTGGAAAAGAAAGAAGAAAAAAATAATAAAAAAAAAAATAATAGTACAAAAGTGGTGAGGGATTGCGATGAAAGAATCGTTTAGTTTCGTGTAGTTTTATTAGCGACGCGTTTGTGCAGAGTGCCCTCTCCCCCCCGTAACGACTCCGAAAAAAGAAGTAAGACGGCAAAAAAAAAAAAAAAAAGGACAGTAGCGGCGTGTGCTATATGAAAAAACGTCGTGCAGGGTGAAAAAAAAAAAAAGCATTTAGCACGGGGCCGTTCTGCACACAAGTGTCATGTAGGGGATGTAGGTACCCATGCACTGGTCGTGGGTACAATACAGTACAGTATACGCGTTACCTATACATGTATNACGGAAAAAAAAAAAAAAAAAAGGACAGTAGCGGCGAGGCTTGATGCGACGGAAAAAAAGTGCCGTTACCGAAGAGTGACACGGAAGCGGCTGTTGGCAGCAAAAATAATACCCCTCGTTTGAGCGCACCCCCAAAGTACGTGAGTAAGTACAGAGTAGCGATAAAGCCCGAGTCTCGTGGATCGGGTGAAGAGACCGCGGCTGGCTTCGGCCACGTCAGCTTCGCAGCAGGAGCATCGGTGGTGGTTAGCAGGGGTAGCCCGTATAGCATGGAAGAAGCTGCCGGGCAAGAGCAGCAACCGCCGGAGCAGCCGTCGCCGCAGCCCCAGCTGATGACGAAGTTGTCGGGCCTGACGCCGAGTAACGGCACTACCCTCATCCATCGCTCGGGACATTGCTATCAATTGCACCGTCCGCACCTTGGCCTGCCGGCCGATCCAACGCTGGCGGACCATCAGCCTCACAAAAAATTTAAGGCGGATCATCCCGATGCCCCGAGTCTCGGGTCCGCGGCAGCAGCCGGAGCTTCCGCCGCCTCGCTCACCCAGGACCAACTGCTTCAACAACAACAACAACAACAACTCCTCACCGGTCACTCGGTCAACCACATTCTGGACATCAATCGCCGTAGGACCCGAGGGGCCCTCGGTAAGCTAAATAACAACAACCACAACAACAACAACAACAACAACAGCAGCCAGCACCATCACCATGGCCATCAGCAACAACAACAACAGCATCAAAGACAACATCAGCAGCACAAGCATCAACAGTATCAGCAACAAGTGATCAACGCAAGTACCCACGTGTCGTGCCTGTACCCGGAAATCCTGGCGTTGATATTCAGCAAACTGGAGGTGCGCGATCGGGGCCGGGCCGCCCAGGTGTGTAGCGTGTGGCGAGAGGCGGCTTATCAGCGCTCGGCCTGGCGGGGCGTCGAGGCTAAGCTCCACCTGCGAAAACACGCGAGCGCCGTGTTCCATTGCCTGGAGAAGCGGGGCATCAAGCGCGTCCAGGTGCTCTCGTTGACCGTGCGCCGCGGCCTCGGCGACGTGTTTCGGGGGGTACCCAAGCTCCAAAGTCTTAACTTGTCGGGTTGCTACAACATGTCGGACACGGGACTGAACAACGCCCTCGGCCAGAGCTATCCCGCGTTGACGGAGCTGAATCTCAGTCTATGCAAGAACATAACCGACGCGAGCCTCGGCAAGATAGCCAACGCGTTGCGCAACCTAGAGCGCCTCGAGCTCGGCGGTTGCAGCAACATCACGAACATGGGCCTCCACGTGATATCCTGGGGCCTGAAGAAACTCCGGCGTCTGGACTTGCGCAGCTGTTGGCACGTCTCCGACCAGGGCATTGCCTTTCTCGCGGGCACGGCCGCCGACGATTGCGGCACCCCGAGGCTCGAGCACCTCGGGCTCCAGGATTGCCAAAGATTGAGCGACGAGGGCCTGCGCCACTTGGCCACCGGCCTCGGCGACACCTTGCGCAGCATCAATCTCAGCTTTTGCGTCCTCATAACCGACGCGGGCATGAAGCACGTCGCGAAAATCGGTAGCCTACGCGAGCTAGATCTACGCTCGTGCGACAGCATATCGGAGATCGGCATGGCTTACCTCGCCGAGGGTGGCTCGCGCGTCTCGAGCCTCGACGTCTCGTTTTGCGACAAGATCGGCGATCCCGCGCTCCAGCACATCAGCCAGGGCCTCTTCAATCTCAAGTGCCTCGGCTTGTCGGCTTGCCCGATCACGGACGAGGGCATAGCGAGGATCGCTCGTAGCCAGCGGGCCCTCGAGACCCTCCACATCGGCCAGTGCAGCAAGCTCACCGATCGCAGCGTTTCCGCCATCGTCGACAACATGACCGAGCTACGGTGCATCGATCTCTACGGGTGCACGCGCATATCAAAGTTCGGCCTCGAGAAGATCGACAAGCTCAGGATAAGCCTCAATCTTCGGCTCTACCTGCACGGCGAGGAGCACGAGCGCAATAGGTGATGGCCGCCCGCCCCCCTGCCTCTGAGACCCCAGTCATCGCGGCCCCGGTAGCTCCTCCTTTTCCCTGCGTCGTCGTCGTCGTTCTTCTCCTTCGTGTAAGTAGTCTTCTTGCGCGCCTCACGTCTTCGTCGTCGGGAGTCCGCGGTTAGTTCCTCTACATCACCCGTACCTCTGCACGTACATTGCACTATACCCGTGTACCAACCCCTCACCTCTCCTTTCTATCTATATAAACCTCCCGCGACCGCGAAGCCTCGGTTACCCAAGTATACTGTGGAATTCGCTGCCGAAGTGAGATACAAATCATATGGACGTGATTTTTTTTTTTTTTTTTTTTCCATCCACTATTCAAGCGTACTTTAACAGCAATATAGCAATAATATTGTGTATATACTTTTTATTCGATGTATAGGAGGATATTTTTGTAAATACACACGTAGGCTTTTTAAGAATTCGATTATTATTATTATGGTAATAATTATAGTGACAACTATAATAATAATAATAATAATAATAATATGCTGATGATGAGCGACTAGTTGAAAAACATGTTTTTTTTCCAAATGCAATACCAATGCGTTTTACAAATAAGTTCCTTATTTGTGTACAATTTGTAAATACATAACATTATTTTCTACCAAAATACCATTACACACATACACACATGCATACCAATACACACGTACGATTAATATTTTCTATCCAAATATTTTGATCTTTGTTTACACTGCAAAAACAAATGCATTGATGTAAATAAACGTTTTGTTATTTTATTGTAAATATTGTTTGTTTATAAATAAAAATATTCAAACGATAACGAAGCGAACATTTTTGTTTATGAAAAAAAAAACCATAATAAAAATATTTATAAAAAAAAATTTTCATTTTTTCAGTACAATGCTATTGTGAGTTCCCCATTTCCCAAATCCTTTACAACTTAATTTTATCGATATTTTTACCTAGTAATCGTTGAGTAAGCCAATCACGGAAACTCACGGAAATTAGAATTTTCAACATTGAAATATTTTTAATGCTTTTGTAAAAAAAATTTATTTGTCGGCTTCCACTTTTAACTACAATGAGTTGGTGAAAAGAAAACTATATCATGAACTATACTCTGTTGAACCATTAAATCTATCGACAATAACTTATTTAAGTGCAAAATTATAAATAGAAAACGAAATAATATCACGACGCATAAAAATGGTACCCGAATGCGACGATGTGGACTAATTAATGCGCGAAAAAAAAAAAAAAACATATCTCTGCTCTACTGCGATGCACGAAGAGGACACGCAAAATCGTCCATTCTGATGACGGCAATGCGAGCGCCCGCTCCCGCGCTGCTCCTACAGGGTAATATAGGTATTATAATTGGACATTCATCGTCGAATGAATAAAACAAGCGGGAGCAGGAAAAAAAAAGAAAGTGCACTATGTATGGATACAGCCTCCGCTTGTATGAAAAATCAACCTCGGCCCAATAGTCGGAAAAGCGTTCCCGACCATGATAATAATTGGAGTTACGTCCCTATCGCCGATTAAACCTTTTTTATTTGCTCTTTACTTGCATTTTTCACCTTCGATCGCAGTACCTACGATACTATTGTTACTTCTTAATTATTTGGTTACCTTGTTTTTTTGTCACGTATTACAAATGAAATTTGATTTATTTGTTGTAAATTTATGCAGAGTAAAAAAAACACAAATGACTGAATCATCGTTAAAAAGAGTAGTTTTCGAAAGACATTAATTTGAGCATAAAACTTAAATCTATGCATTAGTATGTAAGAAAGTAAAGAGTTGTACTCCGTTTTTTGGTACGTTCATCAAATGAAGAACAATTATCGTTTGAGGGTAATCAGTGCATGCTACAACAATTGACTAAACTATTTGTGTTAAAATAATGACTTGGTAATTCGTAATCTAAAAAAAAAAGATACTATTTCTAGGTTTAACTAGGGCATAATTAAACCATTTTTCGAATATAAAAAGAAAAAACAAATTTGAAAAGGTTTTAACTTGGGTAATTTTATATTAATTATTTTTCTGAAAGTGACCGTGAGTGCATTTGATTAGCGGACCTGACTTGTTACGAAGTAATCATCAATCTATATATAATATATATTATAGTAGTGCTACACGGTCACACTGTCTATACGTACTGGCAAAACGAGGGAAAAGCGAGGAAAAGGGTCGTGTTCTCTTACAACACCAAATAGGTGTGTGGGCTCCGAAAAAAATTTGGAGCATCAGCAGCTCGTGAATGATCGCGTCTCGAGCGCGAAATTAAAAAAAAAAAAAAAAAAAAAAAAAAAAACAGGCGGCAGGGATGTGTGCATAGGTATACTGCATCGCAGGTGCATGCGAGATAGAGAGCGCGTGCAAATTGTTCCTTATGCATATACGCACATCATGTACAGTCGAAATTCGCTCGGTCAGAAAGCTATGGGTGCAGTGTGGTGGGCCACTAGTATAGGTGTATGCATGCAGTGAAAGCGAAAACCGGGCAAAAAACGCAACAGCCGCGAACTGTGCCACATTCGCTTTAACAGGTCGTTGGGAGCTTGCTTTTTTTTTTTTTTTTTCCTCGTGATGCTCGTTCGGCGTCACTGTGGGAAATCGTGTGCCGTAGGTATAAGGGGGGTGAGGGTGAGAGAAGAGAAAAATAATTGGAGTGGGAGGGTAAACAACGCAGGGCTGCAGGAAGAGAGGGAGGAAGGAAAAACACGGAAAAAGAGAGGTAGCTGCACCGAGTAATCAGCGGCACGCTCGCGACCGCGGCCTAAAATTCAATTCCGTAACAATGTCGACTTGTTTCTCCCTCCTCTTGTATTGTACATGGTATACATAGGTATGTATGTATATATATACCCGCCTATATGACTGCTTGTCGCCGCATAACCAACACCATTCCACCGTATAGGTATACATGGCTCACAAGCGTGGTGGTAGTAGGAGTCGGCTCGGCTCCCCTCGATACACCGATACACGTCCTCCGATTCACCCTTTCTCTACCTCTCTCTCCATCCTTTTCCACTCGCACTCTGCCTCTTTGGCTGTATGTGCATGCAGCACATATACTATTGGCGCGTCGTCTCTTATTTTTATCTCTCCTCCCTCGACCCTTGGCTTATTCCTTGGTGCTCCGCCGCTCTTCCTTTCATTTCTATTCTCTTTCCCGTTTGGTACGCACACAGTCGTACCTACACGTTATCCCTTGTTTCTTTCTACCGTATACCCCCTTTTATACCATCCCCTTCCTCGGTTTCGAGGGCGCAAGTTTTCGCTTTGTGCTTTGCCGATGGATGACTACATAAAGGCTAAGTGTATACGTGTATATAAGGCTGGAGAATAAGTTTGCGAAAGACGATGAGATAGGGTGGGTTGGAGGAGGGCGCAAGAGATACTGTGGATGCCCGATGGTGCTTTAAAATATCTCATCCATTGGTACCGCACCTATGAGCAACGGTGCCACTGACAAAAATACCAAATTCGTCGCATACTTTTTTTTTCACTGTAAACCGGTGTCATATTCTGTGGATGTGTTATTTTTCTCTACGTTTTTTGTTTTTCTCCCGTATGTATAATTCAACAATTTTTTTTTTTTCATGTCAATTTATACAATCTATTAACGGTAAAAACATAAATTCAGTTACCTAGGAAGAATCGCTGGACTGTAAAAATACGTTGAACAAAGATACTTTTTACGCGGGAAATATTTTGTTGTTTTACGTTACGCAAACCAAATTTTTCGATCTTTTACACGAAAATATTGTCCATAGTCACTATAGTGTTAATTTAATTGAATAAGATTAACGTATACTTTAATGAAGAATTGCTGGACATGGTATAAACATAAGATACTCTTTACTGCGCATACAACATTTGGAAACTCTCCACCTATAGGTTCGTATACCTATAATCCTATACTCGAAGCTTTAAAGGCTTTAAATTGGCGCCGATTTTTTTTCCTTACGACCTATAACTTATGAAATTGCTTACGAATTTGCTTGCGTCGGATTGATATTAGGGCTCACATCTTGCCGTAAAAAAAAAATATATATATATAT